AAATGATTTTACAAGTGTACAAAGGAGAGTAAACTATCCATTTCGAATCATTTTAAGTCCGTTAGGCACAACAACCAGGGGAAAAAACCTCAATAACGTGGACCTTTCTTCAAAAGCTGATTGTGCTCACTTGGGATGACTCCAGTTCTAATCTCTTGCAGAGTGATAATAAGTTTTTCCAATTAAAGACAGTCAGCACCCAGGCCAAATGGGGTAGATGCTCCAAGCCAGGGCATCTGGGAAAGAGAGAAATACCACACACAGCAATCTGGCCATTTCTAAATCTTCCTTGTGTGTGGCCATAACTTTTCAGAGTCCACATGTCACTTTTCTGCACAAAATGCTACTCACTAAAGAATTTTAAGTGTGTTTAAAACGGGTAGAAGAGTTATGTTATTTTAATAATCAGAACTCATATGTAGATAAAAATGAGTGTAATTCTAAACCAGATAAAACATATTCAACTAGAATTTATAAAACCTAAAACTGAACTAAAAAATTAGAATATTACTATTTTTTTATGAAACATTCTGAAAACAGTTCTGGATATTATGTCATCCCATCTTCACACAAGAAGCATTTCCATTTCTTTGTTAAATACTGTAAGAAAATTATAAGAGGGGAAAGTCATTTCAGTAACCCAAATTAGTAGTTACTCACCATACGAAGAGGCAAAATAAGCTTCAATTCCATTTTCCTAGCTTAATCAAGAATGCTTGATGAAGAGGCCTCTCTCATGTGCTTCTCGATTGTTATAGAATCTAGGAAGGAGATAAAAGCATGCAGTGTTTCAATATCAAGAAGGAAACTACTCAGAGAACATTAGCTTCTTATGTCAGTGATTATTTTTCATGAGAACAAGAGCTATCCCAGCCAACCACATGCCGCTTACAAATTTCCCAGCTCCTACAAAAGTTAGAGCAAGAAAGGCTGAAATGACTACTGCCTTTGGATACAGAATACCTGGGAATATTCCAGAATACCTCACAGTACTTGTCTGAGTAAACTTTAAGTTCTTAACTTCACCAAGGCTCAGTTTTTTTATCTCTCAGGCGGAAGTAAAAATACCAGTTATTCAATAGGACTGTTCTGATGATCAAATGAGAGGAGGTGTAGAAAGACGTTTAGTTAACAGTAAAAGTAATTTATTTATTTAAAGTAACTCCTTACCTTCAGGATTTCAAGTGGCTTCAAAAAAATGAATGAAATATGAATAAAAATAAGAACATAGGGTTGAGAATAAAAAAGGGAGAAGTATATATATGTTATCTACGCTGTCCTACATAGTTGAAGATTTGAATTTCTTGGTAATTTAGGTGGAAGGAAAACACAATTTCTTTAATAACTTCTGTTTTTAGGAGAGAACACCTTACTTCTTCCAAAGAAACCAACTATTTTATCCTCCTGATAAGAAATTCATGGAGAAATTTTTCTTATAAAACATGATATAGGGACATTGACATAAAATAGACTATTTCATGAGTACGATTGACTACCTTGTATGAGAACTGAGGGGCAAACAGAGCTTTTGCTTGGAAGTAGTTACTATTTCACTAAAAACTGTATTTCTAGAGATAAACTTGAAGCTTGAATCAGGAAAATTCTAAATATAAAC